TCTTGTTGAAAACTAGTGAGATGGCGTGGGTCATCGTGTTTAACTACAGCTTTCTCAACCACAGTCTGCCCTGACTTTTCAGTTCTTGCAGCATCATTAAACATCTCTCTCACGCATGTGTGAGACATCTATGTCAGTAAATGCCTCACAAGCTGCAGGCCTGTGTCAAGGCACAAGATGGTCACAATTGTCACAAAGCGTCACTGCATCCTGCTTGTCCTCATGATGTATGATCCATACCAGCATGGATAAAACTTACTGTACGGTGGTTTTCACCTCTCTTAAACCTTTTCACATTTTATTGTCTAACAGTATTGAATCATAATATGGGATTTTTTGCCATTGGCCGACACAAAAAATAAATGTCAAAGTAAAAAACAAAATTCAACATATCCTCTTAAATAAATTATAAATATAAAACAGAAAATAACTTATTGCATAAGTATTTATGCAATATTTGCCATGACACACCTAAATAAGCTATGGTGCTACCATTTGACTTTATAAGTCACATAATTAGTTGAATGGAGTCCACCTGTGCCACTTTCTTCCGCTTATTCCATTGAAACAAGAAATAAACAAGAAATGTTATTTGCTGTATGGGTCTTTATGGAATCGTAATATGATCTTAATCACAGTATTGAATTATTGCCTCTTGGTACTGTATGTATTGATGAAACATTAATTAAAAATAAGAAAACCTGAAAAATATTATTTTTGATTTTTCTGGCCTTAAGAGATGTTAAACTTTTTTATAAGATACATTAATATTCTTTTAAATCTGTGCATTTAAATGTAATTTAAGATCACTGTGATATGTGTATTTGTTCTTACTTCATGTTCTGTTATTTGAAGAATTATTTGTTTTTATATGCTCTGCCATCACTTTAAGGCAGAATCTGTGTAGTAATAAAATAGGGACATTAGAACATTAATCACACGACAAATTATCACCCACCTAATACTTAACTTTTTTTTTCCAAAGGGAAGGGAAAAGGTATATTATATATTACTCAGCAGTGCTATTTATATCCATTATTGTTCAGTCTTGACACACTGTTCCATGTCTGTTAAGGAGTGGGCAGTGAGAATGAATAAAGAGGAAACTGCATTTGTGAGAGACAATGCAACATCAGTTCCCCCGGGACTGATATTCAGAATACAGCACTAGTATTTCTATTCTTTTCCCCTTCAAATACTGTACGTCCTCCATTTATATAGATCAGACCTTTAGTGAGGACAAGAACATTGTACACCCAGCATCTTTTTCTGCAAACTTTCTTGTACATACTTAGGTTCATAAGAAGCCTTAATAGCTGTTATGACAAATAAAATCTGAGTATTCTTTTATTTATGTAACTTTATTTAGGACCTTCTTTTTTTCCCAGGAGTTTGAAAAAAGCAACACACAGGGATCTGGTTCTTTTGCCATGTTGCCATGGTAACTGTCCAGAAATGCAGTGACTCAGACAGGCCAGTAAAAATGCCGTCAGTAAGTGTGAATTGAGGAACACACTTTTAAAGAAATTGTCCTGTAGTCAGAACTTTGTATTCTTTTTTTCCTCTGTGTTTTTTAGCTGGTTGGCATTTTTCAAGTGCTTTAGAACAGCTTGTTCTTTACAGGTTTGAGTGGGGAGTTGCGTCAGTTGTGTGCCGACTGCAAAGGATCAAGTAGTGGTTAATTCCACCCTGAAAATTACAAGGAAATCAACTCTTTAACTTTCTTCTGATGTCACTTTTTCAGTTTTTACTAGCTATGGACACCCCAGGTGCCGAATGTTGGTGCGCTCACTTAATCCAGTCTCCAACATGATAATCTCACAAAAGCATTCTAATAAGTGGGATGTATTGCTTCCTTTTAGTGTTATTCTTTCTTAACTTTCATCAGGGTTAATATTCAACATGATTGAATCCCCTCAATCAACACTTTCACAAATGAGGTCACTGGAGTGTGTCACTGCTAGTCGTGAATGATCAATTAATTCAGATTTCATCAGAAATATTTAATGAATATACAAAATCCACATAAATTATTTACTTAAAACCCTCCGTGCATGAAAAGATTGATATGCTTCTTTTTATACACATTTATTCCAGTTTTCGCAGTGACAACTGAAAATACTACAGCAAGAAACAAACTATTATGTATCTTGAAGAAATATTCCCAGAAAGGAAATTCTTTCTTGTAGAACTATGATTACAACACTGTGTTTTATTTTTCAAGTCATCTGAAATACAGAATACGGGCAGACATTAATTAGCATCTATGTATAGTGAAAGTAGTTTTTTTTCCCTTGGGGAGTTTTCCGGGGATGGTTTTCGGATTTTATTTTAGGCCAGGAACCAATTATTGGATTTTGGTTTTTTTTTTTTTCTTCGGTTTTCTTCTTTTTTTAAAATTTTTTTTAAGATTATGTATAACTACCTTTAAGTTCCTTCTAAAATGACGCAGTTTGCTTAGATTATTGCTGTTCATTTCAGAATGAAATCGGCAGAAATAAGAACGTGGCTTTCTGTTATGAATTGGTAAACATTTTTTTTTTATTTATACTTGTGTTCATTAGTTCTTGGTTTACACCAGCCATGAATATTTAGGAATGCAGTACCTTTCCGTAAGAGAAAAACCCAAAAGGCCAGCTTAAATACAGGATGTTTCGGCTCTTGAGCCTTTTTTGTGTGATGCCAGCTACAAGAACTATCATTTTCCTAATAATAACTTTGTGAAATTAGTTTTCTTTTGATGCTTAACATATTTCATATACAGTATAGTATACAGAGCACAGGAGGACAGATAAGCCCAGCTGTGTTCATTGTGTCTGATAGCAGGCTGTTCAGGTAACACTAACACGACAGAAAAAAGGCTGAATATTAAAGACGAGGTCAGTAGTGTGAGAAGATAAGTTACGATTGTAAGTGTGCAAAATAGAAATTAATCTTTTCATGATGCTTCCTGAAGGGGCCATTTGTGGAATGTAGAGATCTCAAAACCGAAAGAGCCATGCTGATCTTGTCTTCGACATGTTTGAAGTGCACTGGCCAAAACACTGCATTAAATAAATTGCCTCTGCCCTTAGAATGCTAAGAAGATATGTCCAGTTGCTTTCATGTCATTATGTTCAGTGGCTTGTTTTCACCACTCACTCATAAACAAGATTCAATTAATTATTTCATTTGAAAGATGTTTAAAATGTGAACAGTCTGTTCCTTTCACTTAGTGACAGAGCTCAACGGCAATAATAGGAGTGCTGCGAAAGTGCCACCTGTGTTTTATTCTGTGTCATAAATGGTATTCATGTTTATACAGGATTGTTGCCAAGGAGCACACATTCTGTAAAAACATGCAGGCAGAAAGGCAGCTCTCGCATGGCTCAATTAGTAACTGTACTCCTCCCAGTGCAGGCTGAGCTTTGTGATTTAGGCATTGCAGGATCGAACCTGGGACATATCAGGAGGCGGTTGTGACCTGGATTTCCCAAATGGGAGAGTGTCATTGGCTGAGCACTGCCAAGGGTGTAGGTTGGGATTAGGTGGTCAGGACTTCCAGACATTAGCAGGATTGCGGTTCTGCTTTGAGGGATGCCGGACAAGCCTCCCAAGTGGGTGTAGAACTTCCTGTTCCAGACTTGGAGGGGCCTGCCTACACTTCCTCATACAACCCAGGGCAGGTTATAGGGTTTGCAGATCTAAGCTGAGACATGAAATACATACACACAGTTTGGCAAATCCAAATCAGGTTGGTTTTATGTTACAACAGTAAAATTAAAAGTAGGAAAGTCTCTTACTGTAACTGAGAAAGGCTTAACATATTAAATCATTGGGTAAGGGAATGAATTCCCTGGAGAGAGAGTCTGTTATTATACAAATGTTGGCTTGGACTACCGAGAAATGGCCCGAACATCAGAAAATTGTCCCTTGGCGTTACTGATAGACAAGCCCAGCTCAGAGGCTCTGTTTCCTTTGTAAATCAAGTGACCCTTTTCCTCTTCCTCTGCTTGTATGTGCCAGGAAAATAGGAGCAGGGCCTTTGTAGAAAACACAAAGACAAGGAAGAGGGAGGTACTGTACCTAGGTCAGTGTAAGGTACACAGTGTTTCTGCTATTGAGGAGCTGTCATACAGAAAATTTAAAGTACCCGTGAAGAGCCTCTCATACTAACGTATTTATGACACAAAAAGAACATGTCCTTGAATATGTCTGCATTTGGGCAGAGAATTTTAAAGTCATTAAATGAGGTGCACCTCTGCTTGGTCTCTTTAGAGAGTATTTTAAAAAAATTACCCTTGTGACTATGCATATCTGTTGAAATACTCTTGTGCTGTTATTTTGTTTTATTTCTCTCCAGTTCACACTGTGTCTAAAGATTCTACTGGCCTCTATTGTTTAAAATTCAATCCTGGTTCTGGAGGGCCCGTGCGTGTGCAGGTTTTCCAGGCCATGTTTCAGTTAAACCAGTGACCAGATCGTTTAGCTTGTTATGAAGTGAGGTGAAAACCTGCAGACATATCGGTCCTCTAGGACAAAGACTGGACGCCTCTGGTCTGAAAGATCCTGAGAACCCAGTGAAATCAAATTCTTTAGAATTTAATCAAATATAATTATATTAACGTACCTGACTATTTTCTTTTGCGCATACAGTATGTTGCTAATATTTACAGTATGGTGTATATTTTCTCACTCTTGTCCACAGAAAGTAACATATAATCAGGTTGCTGAAGCAGCATTTTTAATTGAATTTAATATATCATTGCATATTATATAATCTGTGTTAAGATTTTTTTCCATTCAGATGAGTATGATTCTTTAAAGAAGGTCTTTTATAATCTCAGGTTTTTTGTTCATTAAGAATTAATCTTTTACCTAGGAATATATTTTATATACAGTATATATATATGTATACACTAGTGTGGCATCAAAAGCTTTTTTATCTTTAAATACATTGACTTTTGTTTTGATTTAAGATATACATATCTCATATGGGTTTTTGTTTTCTTCATTGCCAGATCTAAAAAAATAAAGAAGCCAGCTTCTGAGCAACGGATAAAAGGGAAGTTTTCTTTGTTTGACGAAGAGGTGGATCCAGATGATGATTTGTTTGAACCAGCAAAGGTGTCCAGTACAACCAATAAAGTCCTCTCTGCTAAAGACAGTAAGTTTAAATCTATATAGTTGAAAATTGTTGAAAATGTCTTGATTCTTTTTAATGTTTTTAACCAAATTGAACTACTTGTTAAAAAATCAAGAACGGTTGCTTTTTGTGAATAGTTAAACTTCAACCTCACACAGTACAGAGACAGGATATTTAGATCCATCAATGATGTTAACCGCAGTGAATGATGAAGATTGACTTGAGTATTTTGGTCTTAGAGTAATGCATAGTATAAAGATACTGGTTAAGAATGAAAGTAAACAGTGCAAATGAGCTTTGTGTCAAGACTAAGTAAACAATACCATCATGGACCATTAGACATAGAAATGTTGGGTTGCTCCAGAGAAGATTGGAAGCATTATTATTTATTTTGACAGTAGCAGTTGTTTTTATTTTACTTGTCATGTGGTGCAATGTTATAACACAAGCACAGGTATCAAAATAAATGTTTATTAAACTCTTCTTAAAATTGTACTAATGTACCAAGATAAAACAATCTACAGTACATCTTACACTATGCTACTAAGTTCTTAAGTAGTGATTTTATAATTGTGTTGTAAATGATCTCTTATCGATCATAGTTAGGATGAGGGTTAGCAGTAATTTAGTAGTAATTTAATTACAAACTGCTGTTTGTCATTCTGATGTTTGTGAAAAGTGTGAAAATGTATATTTTTCTATGATACAATTGCATTGCACGATCACCTTGTTAGATTCTGTAGCTGGTTGGCTGGGTTTTGTCCAACTCATAGTCTGAACTATTTGAAATGTGAAATACAACACAAACTCCACAAAGTGCTCACACAACGTAAAGTTGTTGTTTTTGTGCCATATTACTTTTATCAGGAAGATATGCAGAAAGAAAATACTGAAAACTGCACATCTTATTAGTTTAAGTAAAGCTATTCAATCAAATGTAAGCCCTCTAATGTGTGGAATTCGTTATTAGCAGGATACCTGCTTAAAGGGTATAGGAAAGTACCCATAAAATGGGTATAAATAATAAATCATGTCAGCTTTTTGTCTGTTTTCTGTTTCAGGAGCACAGGTTTTGCAGAAATTGGTTTGTTCTTTGGCATTATTAACTTAATTTGCACGTCAGCAGTAGTTCAGAACAATCTAAATTCCTTCTGTATCTACATCGTCATTTGCAATCACCAGGTAGAATAAAAGGTAGAATTTTGAACATTTGTGGATGATTCTAAATTAGTTTGGCTGAAGCTTTTATACAGCCAGGTCCGTTACTGAAGCAGTCTGAGTGAAGTACAGTACCTTGCTCAAGAATACAACAGCAGCGTCCCTCACAGGATTTGCAGACACAGTGATGCAGTTATGAGTGCTCCACCCTGCTGCCTTCAAGAATTGATGTATATAAATCTAACATCAGAAATTTAGATGTTTATGTGACATATAACAGTATTCATATTTAGCATGTACAGTATTTAATGTAATACACTCTCTCTGCAGTTATCTCCTCTGCTGTGCATCACTATGTGTGCCCTTTCCTTCTAAAGGTGGTTTAAAGTTGTTTGAGGACCCAGACCTTGGGGGCGCAGTGAAGGCAGGTGATTCCCTGCTGCTCCCCACTGCTCACACAGCCGTCGGGGCTGAGACTGATTCCATACTGGACGAAGAAACAGAAGAATTGTTCAGGTACTGTGTGTCTGCACGTTCATACTGAACATGTTTTCACACATGCTTTTGTTCTATTTTTACATCATGAGTTTTAACATTTGAAAACAATATATTCATGCATTATGAAAAAATAATAATAAATAAATCCTTATTAAAACTCATGTTGTTTTGTGACACCCCACTGGGCATGTTGTAATGAGATTTTAAAATCTCAGTCAGTCAGGTCCACAACAGACACACAGGCACAGTCATAAGGCTCAAATAGTTTTATTTATTTACATTATAGGGAACATTTGAAAAAAACCACCATGAACCACTTAAATGTTCATTTAAATTACATACTTAAATAATTATATATGTATGTTTATATATAGTATAATACATTGAACATATATATTATATAATACATTATATGTGTACATACAGTATTAGATTTTGTTATTAGAGAAAAAAATCTTTATTATATCAATGGGACTATTTGTTAAAAGTACAACTTGCACTGGGAACCTTCTGTGTGAAAGGCAAGAATTATACCACCGATCCGCTAATGCGTCACTCTGATTTGCTTTTCATTTTCCATTACAAGAATAATGACAGCAAGTGCTCATGAGAAATATGGTTAAAACGAGCACATCAAAACTTTTCCAAAATAACTGCAGTAAGTGATCGAGTTAAAGAATTCGATGCAGAAAATGTTAATGCATAAGTACCTGTTGAGTACCTTTTATTTTCAGATACCACTACTATCTATACAGGGTAAATATATTATATTTAGATACATCTATTATTTATATGCATAAATATTGTTAATATTGTTAATGACATTCATTAGTCAAATTGAGTCAAATTATACTTCAGGTATTTTAGTTTCAGCTGTTTCATAGTTATATGATTCCATATTAGTATTCCATATTAAGTGGATTTAAAAGAAGTAATAATGCAAATTAACTGAAGGTCATCTTTTCACTAACATCTAACACACCACAAGTACCATCTATGATTCTTCTCTGGCCAGTGAAAAGTTACGTTCAGCATGCCGAATCATAGTGCCGTATGTCACAGACGAGACTTTTGACACGCATTCTGAATTTCTGAATCTGTATCACTAGGACTCACATAAAGCTCTGATAACCTCCAGTGGTGAAAATATGCAAAAAAATCAGAAAATTTAAAGGAGAGTGAATCCTTTTTCAAGGATCTGTAAAAGCCTTTAGAAATGTAAATATAATTTGTGGTTTTTAGGTGCACAGTGTTTGTGGAGATTTGTAACTTACAATACTGGAGAAATATTGAGCAAAAGTGTTTTATTTCCATGTATGAGTTATGATTCACCTCAGAAATATTGCCTTGTAAAAAATACAAATCATGACCATTTGGAAACAAATGTCATTTATTTTTCGTCCTGGGATTACGCAAAACTAGGCCAGCTAAAAAACATCATGTAAAAAGTTAATTCAAAGGAGCACTCAAACCGGATTAAGCCAGACTCTGATGTGTCTTAAGTGAGCTATGTCCAGTTTGTAATAAAGTGCATTCCAACCGTGTTTAAAATGTCAAACATGATCTTGAAGCGTGTTTCTTATTAAAATTCCTCTGAAGGATTCTTACCCTTGGCCACTTTATCCTTTCAAAACACGTGTTTCTTAATATGGCCTTTGTTAAACCTCTTTGTTGTTTTTAAATGTGTTCTATAATAGTTATTAAAGATAATAAACATCTAAAAACGCTCTGAAAGACTTTATGGACAGCTAGCATGGAACGTAGATTTGTCAAAGTGGTACAGTATAATGCAAGTGTGAGATATACTCCAGTTTTTCAGTTGTCTCTTTCAAACATTGGATTTGGGAGTTGGTTAGAACAGGAACTCAGAATTGAAAAAACCCTAACCCCACACTGCCGTAGTGTAAGGACTGTCGTTGTCTTGACTTCATTTACTAAGAATTCATTTTGTAAGACAAAAAGTGAAGCAAAATGTTTTTCATATGGATTATCTGGCAATGGCAGAACAGTGATTTATTAGATGTCAGTAGATAGAATGTAAACACTTTTAGAAAAAAAAAGCCTGCATTGCTCAGCCTGTTATCCATTTGTCCTCAAAATAAAACATACTGTTCCTGCTTTAGCAAAATATTCCCTCAGTAATGTAAAAAGGCTGCAAGGCAAATCCCTTAATGACAGGTATTGTAAGGAGAATGTGAACTTTTTTTTCATTTACATTTTTATTAAATTCCAGTTATGAAAGAGATATTATTTAAACCTTAATCCCAAAAGGTTATTGCATCTGGCCCTCATTAAAGCTCAACAGTCTAGGAGAAATTGAGATTTTATAAATGACTGCTATTACCTCTGTCCTTATGATACTGTGTATTTAAATTGTCAAATAATTGATATAGTTTACCCTCAGTTTAATGGACATATAGGAGATGTGGTGTGTCCGTTATTGTGATCTATTAAATTAAGAATTACATTTTTTCAGACCAAAAACACTATTACATGAGAAAATATACATAATTATACTATATATTCTTACTATAACTTTTTTTAACAATTGTATTCCACACAGTTAATGAAAGTTGTTCTTGTTCTTTTTATCATAAATATATACAGTAAGCTCTTTATTTGATGTGTGGTAAATATACTGTATAAAATTTGCTAAACCATATGAAACACAACACCCATTTTAAGTCTCAACCTGCAACTACAGGTTACCACTGATGTTTCTGTTTTTTTTAAACCTGTGTAATATTTATTTTTACTTTGTTTTATTATTCGTGCATTTCATTGTTACAATATTGCGGGGAGTCCAGTAAGTCCAGTATTTCTGATTTTATAGACATAATTCTGCTTTAGCATATTTTGTTCATTAATCAGAAGTTCATTAAAGTATAGTCTGTTAAACTGAGGGCTTACTGGAAATTGTTTTAGATTTTGATAAAGCCTAATAGATTTGAACTAAAACTAGAATATTCATAGAGGAGGTAAAATATGTATTTGGATCAATTATTGCTTTTCAGAAGACTGATGAGATTTCATTTCTTCAAAACATGAAAGCATGTGTTTCTGCTCAGCTTCTGGACTTGCTCTTTGTTTAATATTTTCTATATGTGGTGCATATGGGAAGATGCTGGTGTTTGGAGTAGACAGTGAACAGCAAAAGAGTTGCTTCCAGTTACTCTAGGAACTAACAGAAGAAATAATTTTTTGTTGTTTTTTGCGATCATTCAAGAGCAACATGCAAAGATCAAATGAAAGTAATTGAAATACCGATTGCTGTTTCACATACTAGTAATAAAAAACAAATACAAACTACTGTACCTGTAGTCCAGTCAAAATGCTTTATGAGTTATTGAAAAACCTTTAAATCTTCACTTGCTCTATAGATCTGTCACTAAAGCAGTCAATCAGTCTGTTAGTTAATTAATCTATCAGTTTACCATTCAAGTATATCCCATTTTTCTTCAGAGATGAATTATGGAAAGTAAAACATGTTTCTCATTGAGCTTGTGATTGTCATGCCAATTGTAATTGATTGTACAAAACACAACATAAGGCCCTGTTTGTACAATTCTTTATATAATTCATTTGAAAGATACACCAACAAGTGTTTCCACAGCATCAAAAGCTATTGACGAATCTATATTCCCCAGAGGAGTTGAAGAGTGGCGATACCATTTTATGCGTGATGCATTTCTCATTGTTCTGACAGATTTTTAATTTAAAGAAAATGGAGAATAATAAATCCTTAAAATACACAATACTGTTCTATTTATCTTTTATTTTTAGAGAATACATATTTTTTCAAACCTTATATAGTAGAAGAGATTTTCTCTCATTCTCCTATACATTTTTTCACATACTGTAATTCTGAACATTACATAAGATACAGTTTCTCTAAAGGAAGGCGCTTTTCAAATTGTTCATGTGGATTTATTTTTCCAATTTTCTGAGACCTTTTAAAATGTGTAGCTTACAGTTCTTCCATTGATTCATTTCCTAACCACTTTATCCAATACTGGGCCACAGTGGAGCCAGAGCCTATCAAAGTAAACCACGTGCCCAAGGCAGGTTACACCTTGGATGGGAGACCAGTCCATCATAGGTTAGACAGACTCAAACACAGACACGCACAAAGTCACCTCAGGGACAGATTTTCCCAGAAGCTAGTTAAGCCTTATTTTCAAAGAATTCTTAGACATGCAATACTATTCAAGCATATCCTTGTTTCTGATTTGTCTAGGAGATTTAATTAGTAAATTATCTTAGATGCTTTAACTTAATAAATTAAACCTTCCTGTCATTCACTGTCTTTCAAAACTGAAGCCAAAGCAGTGTGTGTTGATTTCTTTAACACATAGAAACCTTGCAGTCCTGAAAGATTTAACCAGACCTTTCACAGTGTTGGCTCAAGTATTTGGCATAAACATTAAAATGAAAAAGCATGTGTAGTTACATCTATAGTATCAGCATATCAAAGAACAACAGTTGTGATTTGTGTGTCTGAACAATACAGTGCTCCAAACTGGTTTTCACTTTTGGAACATAGAGCAACAGAACTATTTCACTTTTGCCCATCCTCAATTGAAAATTGTGAGTATTTTTAACCAGATTAATAACTGTCAGACCAGGCAGGATGATATGTTTGTTATTCTTTAAAGGGCACTTCTCCAAGTCCAGAGAGGAACATATAACCTGCACTGTTTGGATGTGGAGATCCACATCATTTATCTTGCCTTTGTTTTTAATGCTTTTTACCATTGGCTGTGAAAAATGCAGGATAAAACACAAAACTGCAATAAGTTTACAAAGCGTCTAGGATGGGAGCCTGCACAGGAATCTAGAGGAATCTTTTCACTTTAACAAATGAAGAGGTTTCAATTGTGGGTGTACTTTCTTCACCCCTGTGATTTCTTTTGAGAATGTAAAAGCTCTAGCACAAATTAAACTTGTCTTGCCTTCCTGGGACTGTTGGGTGAACCTTGCTCCCAAACTCTCCTTCTGTCTGTGTTTTCAGGGTAGAGGATGACTTTGATAAACTCCTTAAGGTCAGCAGAAGTGCAAAACCAAAGCCTAAACTGCCTCCTAAACCCAAGCCAGCTGTTGCAAAAAAACCCTCGTCTTTATCAAATAGTGGTGCCAGTTTGCCTGCAGCTCCCATACCAGAGAGTAAAATGGAGAGCATGGATCAAATGGACATTCTGAAATACATCCAGCAAAATGAATCTGTCGCCACTGACAACGTGGATTTGTTTTAATAAGGATTTACATTCTGATCATTCAAATGGAGAAGAATATTTACAGACTGCATTAAGGAACGAGAGTTATGAGAAGGTGTTTCCAGACCTCCAAAACATAACAACGGAAAGTGAAGCAAAAAATTCAGCAAAGTATACAGCCATGGGGAATGTAATCAGCAATTGCAATACTGGGTTTAACGTACAGTATCTTTTTTTGTAAAATATGTATTTTTCACCTGTAAAATGACAGGTTGCATTTCTTCCTATTAAGAATAAATAAAACAAGTCCAACAGTCCTGCTGTTTCAGATGTTACCAATACATGTTCTGATATCAAAAGTATGTGGGCTAGACAGTTTTGAGACTTCAGAGTTTAAGAGGTTTTGTACTGCACAGGTTTCTTGAGCTGTCTTCTAAAACGTTCCTGAGGAAAGAAAGAGTACGGAACAACATTTAACACTAATAAGGGAAGAGTTGGCAAAAAATGTTTTTTTGTGTTTGTGAAGTAATTAACATCTTAGAGGCCAATGGCTTATTGAAGTCACATTGGATGGAATTCAGGGCTGCTTGACAGGAAGATTTAATTTGGTGGTACTCTAATGGTGGTTTTACTTTATAAATGGATATCAGAAGCTATGAAACCTCCATAATATATCTATTTGAGAACAAATTGACTTTCATTAATAAACATGGCATTAGTCAAGAGCAAAAGTGAGTTCCTACCAGGTTATTATTAATCTATTTTTGTTCTGTTCTGAATTTCAAATTGTAAAGCTTTAATTGAATTTTGGTCCTTGATGTAAATTGTTCATCTGGATTTTTCACTTTGTATCAAATTCTGTATACTCCAGTTATACATTTCTCATCGATTTGTCTCTAGAGGCAAAGGGAGGCTCAGTAGTGGGCAATTCCTTGTCTCTCAAAGCACACTTGTGCTCTTGATATTTATAAAATACTGTTACTCATACCAGAACTCCGTACTCTCAATTTCTCAGAAGCAAGGGGAGAGCGATGTTCACTTTCTTCCAAGAAACACATGGATCTGGAGCTTAAATCTTTGCTTTATGCTTGGCAGAGAAAAAAAAAGCTAAAGGTCATATATTATAGGGTATATAAATCTGTCACAATATAACTACATTATTTTCAAATAACCATTGAAAATGCATTGTTGTTAATGGTAATTGAATTACCATACAAGCAGGAATATGTAACTATGGAAAAAATCTAAGGCTAAGATAAAGATTTCTTTTTGAAAAAGCATTTTTTCCTTTACTTAAAGGTATCTATTGTCTTTGTAATGTTCATATTCAGTAGCTTAATTTTGCTGTTATAAAATGTCTTAAATTCTCCATTCATTGTCTGTATCTGTGTGCATATTCTGCCCATACCCTGTATTGTTTGCAATGCACAGCACAGTTCTGTGTGGTGCCCAGTATATACAGTATGTCGGTAATGAAGGATTGTATAATTATTTTGTAAATTGGCTTGCAAAAAGGCATGTTCTGGCATGCACTATACTCTAGTTGAATTCTGTTCCAAATAGGGCATTAATCCAGTTAAAAGTTCTACTGCAGAATTAAAAATAAAATGTATTAAAGAGACCATATGGCATGTTACAGTAATTACAGAGAATATTAAATTAAAGGAGCATAATTTAAAAGACCACAGTGGCGTCGGAGCCAGTTGCCCCACAACCTTCTGTATTTCTGGGAAGCTTGCATTAGTTCTAAAATGGTAAATATTTTGGTGAAAATGTAACACTAAATGATGAAAAGAAACTCTAACTGTATATACATTTATTTTGTTGATTTGTTGTATCAACTGCAAATATCCTGTACAATCAGAATCTCCTCCTGCTGTCGCTGGACTAAAATCAATTAGGTGATGTAAAAGGTTGATGACTGAGCTTATTTCCTTGGTGTACCCTACTTGCATTGTTGTTTAAGTTTTTTTTATTTTGTTTTTCCTAAACAGATGTGTACAAAAGTGAATCAGAGTAGACTTGCGGGAAATCCTTGTGAAATTTCTTCTTATGAAGCACCCCACCCCCCACTGTCTGTCCATTGGTCACTGTTTAAATGTGTTCTGTAATCCACTCAGCCCTACAGATGAAATGTACTGAAATGTATTGAAATGTATTAAAATGTAATTTTAATGTTGCACCCTGGGATTTTGAAAGGCATAAGAGAACTTATTTTTATACATACTGTATCTTTGAAATTGTTTAATATTAGATTATACTGCATATGATAAAAAAGGGAGTGGCGCAGTGGTTAGCGTTGCTGCCTCACAATGATGCCCACCATGAGAAGTTTGTATGTTCTCCCCGTGTTCATGTGAATTTCCTCCTACACTCCAAAGACTATGGTGTGATTCTTTGTGTTTGTGTCGCTGTGAGCCCTGCGATGGACTGGGATCCTATCCAGGTTGTATCCCCCCTTTTGAGACCAGTGTTTCCTGGAATTTGCTCCTGGCCACAGTGACCCTGAATTGGACAAGCAGTTATTAAAAGTGATGTGATAAAAAATTAAATATATAGAATAGTACTGTATAGACTGCCAGTTGGGATGCACGGCCTACTGTACTTTTATCTTTAAAATTCTTTTGTGCTTAATTGATTCATACAGTTACAGTATCTCCTTTGTGGCGTCTTCCATGTGAAATAATCTTTGTCAATAGCGCAGCACTGAAATGGACTTAAAAATCCAAGACCTTAAAATACATTCTTTCGGCATGGGATATCCTTCACATTACATTGACAGCCATTTACTCCTCTTGAGCCAAATATGGCCCTCAGGAAATTAACCACACAAGGAATTCCTACACGCAAAAACACGTTCTGCTCGTCCTTCCCTTTCACCCAAGCTGTTCCAGACACAGCAATCATCTCATACCGCTGACCACCTAATCTACAGAGCCTTCTTGCCCACTGTTCCTCTAATCACCAACATCCACCAGCCACCCCAGGCAACGTTTTCTGCAACAGAAGCAGCTGCAGCACTGTCAAATGTATGTATCCAGTGGCACACATATACTATACATGGTCCTTTTAGCTATTTCAAGACCTCCCAAAGGGCATCATGTTTTTCCAGCAGTCTCATTTATTGCATCAGTTGCAGAAAGTTCCCTGACATTTACATTAGTGAATACAGAAAGACTGTGGCCAACTCTTTGAGGGAACATAGAGACACAAGGATCGGAGATCCCTCCAAGGGGATAATTCATCATTTTAGCCGTCTCAGTCATGTCTCTGCTATTCTTTCTGTCTGCATCCTTCCACGGGGATTCAAAGACTCCTGTTCCAGAAAGGTAATTTGGGCTTCTGTTATCCTTAATCTGAATTCCCACTGCCTCCTAGTTCTCGATGATTGACTCATTTCTTTCTAAAACTTCATTTGTTATTCATTTCCAGATTCCTGCCTTCCACTCTTCCTCTGGAATACATCTCCCAGATTTCCATCTCTTTAGACCCCCTTTCTCACTTCTCCCTACCATTCTCATATTCTCATTTGTTCTCCTTACCCATCCCTTTTCCTCTTATTCCTGCTCTGCCTCATTCCTCCACACACCTAAGCAGGTTCTACAGCTGGCTTCGTTTCTTTTTTTATTTTAACTTTCCCCTCATGGAGCGGCTCCCAAAGATTCAAGGTACAGTAACGTGAGCCTTCTTGTTGAAGACAAAAAAAAAGATTATTTCAAGAATCATTTGGGATGTGATGTACTGACTACAAAACCCTTGTTTGTAAATCTCTTAAATAATGTTAAATAATTAATAATATCTGTTTCAAAATAGGATTTCTCATATTTTATTTCATTCAGTACAATAGATTGGAATGGGTGCTTCTTCTTGACCAGACACTGGGAAGGGAAACATCCTGGAAGTGGATGTTGCTGGCTGCTCTAGATTGGAGGTGAAGGCAACAAGGCCTGTATTTCACATGGCACATTTCATTCACACATAAAGCAACATATTAAAAATAAGTTTGGGTTCCATGCACAATTTGCAGTTTGATTATTTTGCTTTTATGCACAGGCTAAAGCATCTGTCTTTATCTTTCTTGTCCTCTGCTTATCTAGTATATTATATTTCTCAATTTAAGAGAAATAATAAGTTCAAACAAATATTTGATTTCAGTCTTACAAAACATTGACATTCTCAAAACAACAGGTCAGTGATCAGCTGAAGTCTGGTATTGATCTTAGCGTACAAATTAGAATGTTCTTTCTTTTGTTAGTGAAAGACACCATAACCACTTTTTTAATAAATCCCCAGGGATTTTACAATAATCTGTTTTATGGCCCAAATATAACTAGCACATATTGTAGATATACACCCTCCTGGCTGAACACATTTCTAGCTTTATAAATCATTCTATAAGCCATTACGGTTTTGGCATTTACAGCTTTGAGTGTTTTTTAAGTGATGTAACTGTGATGAAACTGTTAGTTATTGGATGTTCTCAAGATGTGCAAAGTAAGGCTAGTAGACTAGTAGATATACAAATCTCCTGCAGGGCCTTGAGTCTTCTGATTTATTGTCTCATACTGAGTAGTCAATTAAACAATTAACCTTATTATTTTCTGAATTGGACATACAGTATATACGATTTTTCTTAAGGTCTTTCACAGTGATAACATCAGACATTCAGCTCCTTGAAGATACAGGTACCTATAAATCACCTCAGAGCCTGGTTAGAAATTTTACAAGTCTTGCAGTTAACTGAATAGACTAACAATGTAACTGAGAATGTGGGTGGGGGTGTTACAAAAACCAAGAAGTCACTTGGCCATTCAGGACCTGAGTTTGAGAGCATTGCTCTTGGCACAGAGTGGATCTGAGAGAAAATAAACTAAAAGCAAAAAAGAGAACTGAGACAGCGGTACAGAGTGAGCAATAAACCTGCCTAGGGACATCCACTTTTACTAGACCTCCTTCGACGCACTTCTGCTAATCTTGCCTTCTTATAAATGTTGGGATACATACAGCCTGCCTAGCCTCGAGCCTCAGTGTCCCAAATCTCTAAGTCTGAGCACATGACTACTGTAGTACATGTTGAAATATGTACTTGAGTTTAAAAAGGAAGTGATTTCTTTTAAAGTGCAAAATGTAAACCAATTGCTTAATGGCGGAATTCACAAGAATACAATAAATGTTCTCATTAAAATTCATCTGTTGTTAACTCCATAAATTGCACAACACTTACATTTACTCCTCCACATCCAGTGACTAAGCATATACTGTACAACTCATTCTAAAACTATACCTGTTGAGACTGGTTTGTAACCCTTGTTTTTGCAGTAGCTGAAACATTCACCAGTATTTTCTTTTCTTTGGGTTTACTGTGAAATTCTGATTTCTGTTGTGCGAACCAGCAACCTTCCAGCCACAGGTGCAGATCTTTAGCCACAGAGCCACTGCACTGCCCCTTTTTTAAAATATGGCTACATGGTTTACAGTAATTATTATGAGGTTTACAGTTTCTATGATGAGATGGTCTAAATTATCATTTCTGTGATACTCAAATCTTCAGACTAAAGTAGAGGTCTAAACTCTCTAATTGCATCTCTGGTATAAAAATCAGTGGATGACACTGTGGTAGACTGTTCAATCCCTGATTCCCTGAGACTCTATATTCATATTTTATATATATATATTATATGAGGTTGTCAAAGTCTGTGTCAATCTGAATACATATAAATGTAAATTAGAATTTGCAGCTACCCCATGCACAAAAACAGGACAAGCGGAGGTTAATTCCAAGCTAAAAATATTTTTTTTGCATGTGGAGCTAGTGGAGCATGCCAGTATATTCATAGACAAATTAAATGTTATTTTGGTGTTTGAGAAAATTATTTGGCTCAAAATGTGAAATGTACAATCCCAAATAAGCAAATAATGAAAGAGCTGCTTCAGTCTCTGTATAAAATTGTTTAAAAAATGAAATCACATTTTACTGGTCAGAAACAGAAAAGAGAAATGCTGTGTTGATCTTTGTGTAACATGAAATAATCAACTATTTCGTTTGGTAGTTTGCAGTTAATTGATCCAAGGATATCATCATTTCTCGAAAGAAGTCAGCTTAAAAAACATGGCAGGCCAACTTGTTCCACACTCTCACCACCCTTTTTGTAAACAAGTACATCCTGTTCTGAGTTTTAAATGCACTTCCATGTACAGTGGTTTCCACTTGTGTCCTTTGGTTCACATTACAATGTTTCAAATTGTGAAAAAATAATAAAAAAGGAACTAAGTTGCGTTCATCTCTAAAGATTGTTTGAGTAGCTGAATTCCAAAAATTCAGAAGAATAAACATGGACAACTGTTTATTCTTATGTTTTTTTTTTAAAAAAAAGGTCAAATAGACTCTATCTGCAGTATTGTTACATACTGCATGTGAAGACATTACAGTACATTTCAAAAATGAAATCTCTTATTGGAGAAATGAAATGTGGATTCTTTCCAGATTAAACATTTAATCTGAACATTTCACATTTAAAATTTACATTTTCTTGTGCAAAGATTTTCACATTTTTTGTCTTTTAGGATTTGTGAATTAATAATTATACTTATATTTCTGTGCATTGTGTTACTTGTACAATTCCGAGAAGGAGACAAAATGTGTATTAACAGTTTAAACCTACTTATGGGGCAAATGTTCTCCAAATAGTAGTGAATAAAATAGATTCAGGATGAGTTTACACCCGCCCTCAGCATGTACTGACATGCCACTTAATATATGAGTGTATTGTTTTGAAAAATTACATTTTTTAATGTTTCAAAATTATTTCCTGTTTGGTGACATTACTGGGTGTTGATAACAAGAAGTTTAAATGGCACCTGGTGAACAGACACATTTACTGGGACATTCCAAATCCTTTGTCTCCATTGTCTATAAATATATTTGCCTTTATTGTTCAATGTCGGGTTTATTTCCTACCATAAATCAGCAGGTTTTCCCCTCAAATATCCTAAATGCAGAGGTACTTTCAATACAAAGCATGAAATTTCCCGTTCTTTGAATTAAACCAGTTAACAAGAAAAATCAAGACTAGAATGGGCTCTGTTTTACTCATGTACAGTACGTTTTTGAAATAATGGAAAATTTCAGCACTGCTGTAGCCCTGAATAGTAATAAGCACAGTCTGAGGTCAACAATTAA